CAAAAAAAGCAAACATGATTCTGGGATGCATTAACAGGTGTGTTGTGAGCAAGACACGAGAAGTCATTCTTCTACTCTACTCTGCGCTGGTTAGGCCTCAGTTGGAGTATTGTGTCCAGTTCTGGGTACCACATTTCAAGAAAGACGTGGAGAAATTGGAGAGGGTCCAGAGAAGAGCAACAAGAATGATTAAAGGTCTAGAGAACATGACCTATGAAGGAAAGCTGAAAGAATTGAGTTTGTTTAGTTTAGAAAAGAGAAGACTGAGGGGGGACATGATAACCGTTTTCAGGTATCTAAAAGGGTATCAGAAGGAGGAGGGAGAAAACTTGTTCATCTTGGCCTCTGAGGATAGAACAAGAAGCAATGGGCTTAAATTGCAGCAAGGGAAGTTTAGGTTGGATATTAGGAAAAAGTTCCTAACTGTCAGCAGCAGGGGCAGGCTGAAGCCCCAGCCTGGTGGCAGCAAAACAGGAGGAGAGGGACCTCTCTTTGTCCGGCAAATCCTCTAGTTTGGAACCGGTCAGGTCCTGAGAGTGCTGGACCAGCGAGGTCTAACCTGTACCTGTTATCAATGATGCTGAAAGTCCAATGAAAACAAGGGGAAACCTCAGATGCATAAAGCTAAGCAACTTCATATGTATTTACAGTTATGATATATATTTGGAGTCATGATTAGTCAAAAGAAAGCTATCACTTTTCAATGAGTGCTGCTCCCTTACACTAAGTACATCCATCTGCGGTGAACGGTTCATATTAACAGTGTAGTTAGGGAGTGTGCTGGATCACTCGCTGCTGCTGCAGAGACTACTGTCTCAGAAAAGGTATTTCAGACACAAGGGCTATGTCTACTCTGTAGCCATAGACTGTTCTTGTGCAAAAACTTGCAAAGTGTCCACACTACAAGCCCATTCTTGCACAAGAAAGTTTATAGTAGATCGTCAGAAGAGAAGGCTTTTTGCACAAGAGTTATTCCTCTCCCCATGAGAACTCTTGCACAAAAAGGCTAGTGTGGATGGGAACAGGGGTTTCTTGCACAAGAAACCCCTATGGCTAAAATGGCAAAAACACATGGCAGTGTAGATGCACTCTTGTGCAAGAACTTTTGCACAAAACTCTTGCACAAAAAGTTCTTGCGCAAGAACTCTTGCATAAAAAGTTCTTGCACAAGAAGCCTGCAGTGTAGACATAGCCAAAAAGTATGATAAAGTTCCTTTCCCATCTTAGAAATACTTTTTAAAAATGAGATCTCAAATTATGGCATGGTTTGTTGTCACAGGGAACCAGCAGAAGGAATATTAATAATTCAAATCCCGTGAATGGGAGGGGAGGTAGAGGAGAAAGAACTAATATATGGCTCAGTAGGCGTTCTTTGTAAAAGATGCACTGTTTCCATTGGGTAGGAAGGCTCATTTTAATTATTTCTGCTTCAGATATTATCCATTGCATTATGGATTTCTTTCAGGGGACTAAAAAAATAGTCTGATTTCTCAAGAGGAACCTGCAAACTGACTGAAATAATGAGCTCTTGGATTTATGGAATCACCTCTTTTGTTGTCATGGAAACTAAAGTTATAAAAAATGAAATGAGAATGATAATTCCCTTTTTTTTGTAATTTTTGGTACTTTTAATGTTTTTTAACATAACCTTGCTCCAAAGTGTTTAAACAGCTATGTGTAAGAATAGTGGCACAGTTCCCTGCCTATTTAGGGAATACTAAGCCTTTTAAATCAACACTGAACCCTACTCCCAATGAAGTCAATGGAAATTTTACAATTGCCATTGGTAAGAATAGGATTTGGCCTGAAGGAAGATGCATTACTGTTCCTTAAATCCCTGGAATTTCCTACTAGTGGAGATTAGCTTCTTCCTTAAGATTAACTCAGTTTTTCTAGAACAACTACATCCTTCAATTGTTGTATCTGTTGGTTAGTGACCAGAACTCTTTTCTCAAACAAAGCTCTCTGAACTGTGTCTCACTGCATAAATCAGCTAAGCAACCAAGCATCTTTTTTGTTTGAAAGAGCTGTCTTTTGGCATTAGCCCAACAGAGATCCTTTGGGTCAATAATTCTAGCCATGTTGTTGCTCTGGTCTTAATTATAGCTAGAATCAGCATTCAATAAATCTACACTTGAGAGTACTCCCACTACGTGAGAGTGTGTGATTGTTCCCCTAGAGCAAGCATCTCAATTAATTCTTCTGTAAAGTGGAAGATCTGTGTGTCCATGGAAGTACCATAGTAGCAGTTACTTAGTCCTTGTCTATACTACAGTTTTGTCAACAAAAGTCAGCTTTTGGTAACAAAACAGTGGAGGTATAGATATAACCATCTGCAAAGGGAACCAAACCTAGGACCTATGGAGCTTAGCATAAGAACCTCTACAGCTTAAGCTATAAAGCCAGCTGGCACTCAGCTTAGGTAGTAGAGTTCACTTGTTCTTATCTATCACTGTAAGTCATCTGAATGCCACTATATGGGGCAGTGAACCACGCTTCATAGGTGTGTGTGTTACATATGCACCGCAATGTCACTTGGTAAACAAAATTCTTCAGTTTTGTTGACAAAATAAAACCATCTTGATGAGAGACATGGGGCATTTTGTGCAATAGTTTTGTCAACAAAGTGCCAGTGTAGAAACCACGCTTGATTTTATCACTTTAATTGGCCTTCAGAAGGTGTCCCACAATGCCCATTCTGACTGCTCTGGTCAGCGGTTCTGATGGCTGCTCTGTAGCCAGGTAGGCAACCGTCTGCCCCTCTCCCTCTAAAACCCTAGGAATCTGAAATTCCATTTCCTGTTTGCTCATAGTGGAGGGCTCACAACCCATCTTCCCAGTTGACCATGGATTGCTCCATGTAGCAGATGCTCTGCCACTTGAATCACTGCTGAATCTCCCCAATATTCTTCCAGACATAAGAATTTCAATATGTAAGGGCAGACTTCTCAAAGCTTGAATATAAAGGACTGTGATCAGGACACAATGCAGTATAGAGCGAAGATCAAAGAGCTCAAGGCAAGGAAGGCAAACTGTTACTCTGTCACTGTGCTGAAGACCTGCCGTTCCTATAAGGGGTTGGATAGATCCTTGGTGTTGATCCAGCCTCCATCACCAGGAGCTCCATGGATACTCTAGCAGGGCTGGAGCTGGCAGCAAATGGACCTAACCCAAAGGATAAAGTCACTGGTGAAAAGGTGGCATTAGATGAGTATATGGGACTCATGGTGGTGTTGGCCAGTGGTATCCCCCCCACAAGAGCTGTTCAACACTCTAAAGGGGCCTAGACAGTCTTAACAGTGGCACTTTAGAGAGCAAGATGCAGGAGAGGACACACCTGATAAGTAGTTTTGCTTTGTAAAGTACAGATGTGGGTTGAGGGCAGAGAAAGGTACAAGGCTGCCTGTGTTTCTGCGTACTAGACTTTTTCCTGTGCAGCTAAGCAGTACAACAGAACAGGGTGTTGGTGCACACTCAGATTGCACAGGAATCCTTCAGAGAGATCTCTAATAAAGTTTCCATGGCAATCCTCTGTCAGAGGTTCTGTGGCACGGCTGTGTTATTCCTTCCCCCATTGAAGGAAACTTTCCCATGCCATTCTGCAGCTGTGCAGGGACCAAAGCAGCACACAGGCAAGCAGTATAGGGATAAGGTCAGAAGCTGTAAGTGTGTAGTAGATACACCCTTGGTTCCTCTCAGGAGTGAGATATCTGCTCCAATGACCCCTGCCTTTGGAAAAGGGTGGGAAAATTAGAATATTGTCCCTAGTGAGCTGCTTTTCTCCCCATGTACATGTTGCTTTTCTCCCCATGTACAATGCCTGCCTCCCTAGGGTAAATTCACCATGCTTGGGGTGTTCACTGAGATGCATGCTTCTCAAGGATCAGTGAGGAAGTGAGTGGTGTGTTACGAGAGGTGTATTTTACTATTCTGTTTCAATGATGTTCATGTACTTAATCATGCTTCCGTGTATTGATCCTTTTTCTTCTGCAGATGTGGTCTTTAGATGCCCTTCACACACGCAGGCTTTTTGAACATCAACAACACTTTTACTGACAAAACTCTACAGTGTAGACCAGGCCAGGTACCTGAAGTGTACTAATTTTGGTTGGGCACCTAGCCAAATCCTGTTCCTTTAACTGAGCTCCTATTTCCTGGCCGGTTTTTCCCCTATTAACTTGCCTGTGGGGTGTTCTCCTAATTAGGGCCTGGTATAATTTGGAGACAATTTTATAGCAAGTAGATTTTGCAGCTATTGTTTCTCCAACCTAGAACAAAGATGTGATTAAAGCACCTTCCAGTGAGAGAAGCAAAATATTTCATTGTAATTTATGAAAAGTCAGGTTGTGGGTCCAGGATCTATTTGGTTATTTTTTTCACATACTAAAGTCTTTTTATTTTGATAGCACTGAAAAATGAATAAAAACACTAATCACCATTAGTGTCAGTGAAAAAAAACTCACATTGACTTCCATAGGGTTAGGATTTCATTCAATTCTCCATCCAAGTTGCAACTTCCCATCTACTCCAGAAAGAGAAAGCACATGCACATATTTTGGGTTATTATCAGTTGTTCCTAATTTAGGAATCTATTTCTCTCAACCTCCCCTCTCCCCAAAATAAACCCTTTCTTCATATATCTCCAATATAATTTCAAAAAAGTTGTATAAACTCCTTCATATATAAATAATTCCTGTATTTGCGTTCTTTGTATATTTAAAGTCTGTGTGCCAATTTTCTGGACATACTGTACTTATTTTCTTTTTGTGCAAGACTCATTACATGCATTTAAGGGTATTTTTTCCATTGACTTTTGTTGAGTCTAGATCAGGGAGCCCTTAGTTTGCAGGATCCAATCTTGCGCAAAAAATTAATATATTTGAAAAGTGTTAGGATAAAAATGTAAGCAATTTGTATAGCTTCACAATAAGAAATCATACATTTTATTAATACTCAATGAATACATACATTTTATTGTTTCTTATTTAAACCTGAAAGAATCTGTACAAGATAATATGCAGCTGTATAAATGATGAGAAGAATTATCTAGTTGTTGAAACTCAGGTTCAATCCCCTGCTATGCCACAGATTTTCGGAGAGAAATTGGGCAAGCCACTTTGTCTTTCTGTGCTTCATTTCTTCATCTGAAAAATAGAGTAAAATAATACTTCACTGCCTCACAGGAGCCTGAGGATAAACATATTAAAAGATTATGAGGCACTCAGATACCACACTAATGGGGGTCTTCAAAGGGTGATAGATAAAAATGCAATATAATGACACACTTGATTTTGAGTCTTAAACAATCCCAACATCTTTATAAAAACAGTTAAGTCATTCAAATGTTTCAAAAATAATTAAAAAGGTCTTGTTTTTATCCAAGGGCCACAAAGAGGGAATATACGAGAGAAGAAAAGGGCACACAAGAAGTTGGAGGAAAAGATAATGCAGTATGGAGATGGAGAGTAGGATAGTTTATTCTTATGTTTTTCTGTAAGGCTGCATCTACACAGCACTCTAAATTCGAAATAAGATACACAATTTGCGTAGCACAAATTGTGTATCTCATATTGATTGAATTTTGAAATAGCATATTTTGAAAATTGGCACATCTACACAGTGCCAAATTTCAAAATAATTTGCTATTTGGAGACATTTCTTAACCCTCATGGAACGAGGGTTTCAGGGATGCTGAAATAGGTGTCGAAATAGCGGTCAAAAAATGTGGGTTAGCTATTTCAGGCTACTTCTGGAATCCTGAAATAGCCTCGCTGTGTAGATGTACCCTAAGAGACTTAAGTAACCAGCCACATCCTCAAATTATGAATAGTTAAAATGAATAGTTATTGAGTAACCCATATGCCAGGGTGGGCAACCTAAGCCCCTCGACTTGCCTGGATCTAGGCTCTGAGGGTCAGAGCTACCCCCCAGCATTGAGAAGCCCATACTGGCACTCCAGCCTCTCCAGTTCTCCATTACTGGACAGGTTCACACAACGTCTACTAGCCTGCCTGTTCCCCCCCACCCCCAGGCTCTTGTGTGCAAGGGGAGTGTCTTTTTCCTTCTCAGTTGGGGGCACATCGGTGAGAGGTTTGGGTTTTTTTCCTCTCACTTGTGTGTGATTTTTCTGTGGGTCAGCAGCCCAGAAAAGATTCCCCATCCCTGCCATCATCTGACATTTCTTTGCATAACGTACAAGTCACAAATTTATTTGTAGTAATTGGGGTTTGGCTCCCAATCAGATATTAGGATAAAATGTTCAATAAATTATTCAAACAGCTGCATATCCAATACATTTTTACATGTGTCAGCCACTGATACACTTGGAGTGTTTTTAGATGCAAGTCTGATAAACTGGGCATTGCCTTTGCATCAAATGTTATTGATTGCTGAGCTCTGAGAGTCATTGTCTGCAGCAACTGTGGAGTTCTGGAGCTCTTGCCAGGTTCTTGTTGCTGAGCAACAGCATTTGTCCCTTCCAGTTGTGTGTGTGTGTTTGTGGGTCTGAATGTGTCTGTGTGGCCTGTACATACAGATTAAAAATAAGAACTCTGTGGAATGAAAACTACTCTATATATTGTCCTTAACAATTCGGTGACAACATGAAATATCATGTATGATTAAAAATTAATCAAACCTCACAAGCACTATATTTCTGGCTATCACTACATAACCAGATATAAATTAATCACATGCTATTGAGACTAAGTAATGTCAACCAACAGGTTCAAAAATCCCCTAAAATATCCTGCCTGCTATATCTCATTTCATTTATAATACTGCATTTATAATTACTAAGAAAGATACCATAACATGAATTTACTGGAAATTATTCATTTGGCTATAGTATGAGTCGTGGTCATAAAGTACCATGTACATTCTTTACAAGACAGTGTATTTCCTTTTGCAGTGTTAGAGCTAGTTAAAAAAAAAAAAAAAAGCATGGGGAGGAGTCCCAGCATTTTTGTTTTTTCCCTTTTTGTTCACCAACATTTGAAATATTCAACATTTAATTGAAGTATTTCAACAATTCTACAGATGGCTGAAAAATGGGATTCAATTTTCATGGACGTTTTAAAAGAATGTGTTTACCTTTTTCATCAAACTTACATTGAAATTACAAAACCATTCAACTCTTTATATTGAGGGCTCTGGATCTAGTAAGGGCACGTGTTTTTGTTTAGGATTGTAAAGTCATACACTAGTACATTAAAGCGATGGTATATCAATTGCAAAAGAAATTACAAACTAAATCCTATGTAATTTCTTATTTGAAATAGAGGTGGAGAAACCTAAGAGCATTGAGCTGCAAGTGTTAACTACATCAGTGGTTCTCTACTAGGGGTATGCAAAGTGCTTCCGGGAAGTACATCAACTCATCTAAATAGTTGCCTAGTTTTAAAGCAAGTTACATAAAAAGCACTAGCAAAGTCACTACAAACTTAAATTTCATACAGACAATGGCTTGTTTATAGTGCTCAATCTATTATGTATTGAAACGTAAGTACGGTATTTATATTCCAATAGATATCTACTATATATTTGAGAGGGTTTGTCTGTCTGTCTGTTCAAGAACTCCTAAATGGTAAGAGCTAGGACCACCAAATTCAGCTTTCTCTCATCATAACTTAAAGAAAGGAAATGGATTGGTTGTGCCAGAAAAATGAAATGTACCTGGAATGGGATTACTACTCATAAAACCATACAGAAAAAGAGACAGAATCACCAGGTGGGTGAAAGTGGCTGGCTCAGGGCACCCCCACCCATCCAGGACTGCCCCAGCTCAAAGCCCTATCCCCCACCTCGAACCTTTTAGGGAGGGCAGAGGGACTGATGCTCCCCACAGATTCCTACAGGGGCATTGCTGGTGGTTTCCCTTCATTAGCTGATGAGGGGAAAGTGCACAGTTCTCAGGGATTTCAGATGATATGTGTGTATGAATATGGAGGTGATTGCCATGAGCAAAATTGCAAAGCCATGTTATAAGTGAGTTTAGCATGCACGTTTGACTGCTGTGCTGCTCTCTGCCTAGTAATTAATCTCTCCCATATTTATACTAACACCCCAGGGTTTGAATTGAGCCAAACATCCCCCAATAATTTCAAAACATCGTTCCTCAGTTAGTTCCTCTTTTCCTCTTAAAAGTGGATTTTCCTGTTTTAGCACCTAGAACCACCAAGATTGGACCCTGAACTAGTGACAGCTTCTCTATGCAGAAAAGTTAGACAACCTTAAAAGCTGATGTCTTGTGATCTGGTAGGAGTTGGTACTCTTAGAAGGGAATATTCCCAGTTTCCCAAAAGGACTCCCCTCTTGCTTCAATTTCTGAAATATTATGAAAAAATTGCATTCAAAATTGTGCCTTTTGTTTTTGAGAAAGCCATTGTAGGCTATTTTAGAGATTTGTATTGTTCCCTCTGAGTCCACCGCAGATACTCAGAGTATCTGAGAGAGGGATACAAAAAAAACCCCACCTTTAAAATATTTCAGTACCTTCTAGACAGCCTTTAAATAGCATTTTCTGTAACATATGGCATTTACAGAATAAATGGTGGGGAGGTTTGATCAGTACCCATTTTGGAATAATTCACTCATGGTTTGTGTATACAGTAGGTAGGGGCAGTGGAACATCATTTAAAATGAGGAAACATAGTTTTGCCCCCCCCCCACCGTGCTCTTCCCCTGTCAAACCCTCCCCCCCGCAATAGCCTAGTTCATGAACCTCCACACATACCCTCTCCAAAGTGGAGAGAGTTGCATTTATAAGTAGTACGTGGGGTCACAGCCCTATGGCAGGGTTGGTCTGGACAAAAACTGGTCTGGCCAGGTCCAGGTGACCCTTTCAAATCTACGGTCTTAGTCTGAGTGGTAATGGTATTGTGTATACTTGGTAGTAGAGAAACAGAGGACATGTGCTAGTAAGTGGTGTATTTTCATTTGCTTTTGTGCCTTTGTATCCGGTACGCTATATATGCGAAGCAGGTGATTTGCTACACAATACTTTGTGTGTATTTATATGCATATATATGAAAGAGAAATGCTTCGCTTATATATTATAGATGATCGTTTTATAGGGATTGGCCATAATGCTCTAAGGTAATGGTTATTAGTCTAGTCATAATCATCCCCTGTTGATAGAAATCATTAATAAATCTGAATCATCAGCAATAAGTCTGTGTAAATATAGACTACAAAGTCTGGAGAACAAAATGACGGAAGACATTAGGGAATAAGCTCTGGCAGTGAGAGGCTGCATCTCACAGCAACAATGAAACTGTTGCTTCTACTAGAATTTTGCAAGTGAAGTATAAAAAATGCTACTTGTTAAAAATAAATTATGGACAAAAGGATGCTCCTAGAAGATGTCAGCTGACATTAAGGCAGAGTGACTTTTGAAAGGCACAGCCAGAGATATAGAATTAATAACTGCATCTCTTATGCTGACATCATCCTGTAATTTTTGTGTGCAATTTCATATATAATGTGAATATTATTTAAACAAGCAAATTAAAAATGTACACAGGCAGGGGAAAAGCTCAGACAATAATTTTACACTGAAACTAGGTAAGAGCACACAAAGATGAATCACAACATCATACCAGAAATCCTTGTTAAATGAAAATAGCAGAAGCAGCAGTTGCTGCCGCTGCCAGCTTTTGCTGCAACAACACTGTTGGCAGCAGCCAGCCTACAGAAAGTCAACAGCTAATCTCTGTCCTGTGAATCTACAGGGGCATTGTTGTGTAGACAGTCTGTAGAAAGAGGACACCATACACCTGGGGGCACAATAGATGAAAAGTGTTAGCTAGATTATTCCAAGAGACTGGAATTATGTCTCATAGGGTATGTCTACACTACCCCGCTAGTTCGAACTAGTGGGGTAATGTAGGCATACCGCACTTGCAAATGAAGCCCGGGATTTGAATTTCCCGGGCTTCATTTGCAAGTCCGGTATGCCTACATTACCCTCCTAGTTCGAACTAGGAGGGTAATGTAGGCATACCGCACTTGCAAATGAAGCCCGGGATTTGAATTTCCCGGGCTTCATTTGCAAGTCCGGTATGCCTACATTACCCTCCTAGTTCGAACTAGGAGGGTAATGTAGGCATACCGCACTTGCAAATGAAGCCCGGGATTTGAATTT